GCTGAGAGAAAGGCGAAACGAAGGTCCAGCACGGTGTGGTGTTTAACGTGTTAGTCCTTGAAACGTGTAATAGCAAGTTCGTTCCCTACCGCAGAAACCTGCGGTTCGGAGTTTTGCAAATATCTCACCTTCGTTTTAACTATATTTCACATGATACCTTACCATGAAAAAGAATAGACAGTTAGTAAAAAGTGACTTCAACGCGCATAGTTGCAAATGTGTTTTGGATTCGTGTGGACGCTCAGTAGGAAATTTTAGATCATTTCTGTCAAGAATCGTCATGGTGGTCTTTTTAAATGCGTTGAGTTTTCAGCTTGACGTTACCTCCGAAAATTCACTTTCCTACTGACCAGAATATGTGTACTTCATGTCTTCGAATTTTTCGTAAAGTGACAGAATTGGTTTCAACCATGAATGTAGAAGTTCGATTCAAATGACACGGTGTTTAGCGATTTGGGGATTACGACGTGATGTGTAACACCAGTGCCAGTCATGTTCTACAACTGTACGAACGCAAAAGGTGCTCGATCTCCATGTATGTTACGTTATTATTCTTGGCCGACATAGCTTCCATTTCTGGATACAAATGCGCGTCAAATTCCATCAACTGCTAACTTTTCACTGCGTTCCCGTTTGAATTCTGACCAAGCATTTTTGCCATTGTTGAGCTACTGTAGATGTGATATTTGACAGTAAGAAGAAGCGAGTGGTTCTTAAAGATCTTTTTGGTAGTTCCAGGTCTCTTATGAACATCCAGTTGAGAACTGACCTTGTTTTATCGCTCGTTGACTTCCAGTTACCAAGTTCTTATTGGAATGCTCTTCGGGTTGAAGGCACACGGCGACGCATTGTCGATTGTCCAACGCTACTATGCTTTACGAGTATTGATAGCTGTGGCTCCCCAGAGGATATCTCATCCAACAGAATAGCACTTGTCGAATATTAGTCTTCGCTTGCTCTTTTAATACTAGAAAATTCGTTTCTCAGTTATTTGAGCAGGAATATCGCACTCATTTTTCTAGCGATATACAAAGAATACAGGTACTCAAACACTGCTAGGTCATATAAAAACCCAAGATTCTGCGATACTTCGATTAGCTTGGGTTGGTTTATGAAAATGAGCAGTTGATTCACTTGGGGATACCCAAGTTTCTTTTATGATGGATTCCTTTTTCGCTTAGGCTTAAATTGGTGCAAATTTTCACAGCGCCACCTCATTTTGGCAGTTTGTGTTGATTTTTTTCAAGTAATTTAATATAACAGTTTTTTATGGCTAATTCACCACATCTGCAAGTGAATTCTATAAATTAGATTTAAAATACAAGAACACGTTATTTGTTTGAGCGGTTTCCTAACCCATCTTCATGATCCGAGCTAGCACTAGCATTTCCCATCACTGTAGTACTACTTTGGTTAGATGAAACCTCGTTTATTGAAGTCTCCAGATATCAATACAAAGAAGTTTTAAGGTCGTAATCGTGTGGTACCGTTGATTGTTTGAATAGAAAAGAGATTCGCCATATTGCATGTAAATTTCTACCAAGAATACGACGTTGGCTTGCGTTAGCTGACTATTTGCTCGGCTTCTTCAGGGAGACTTTGAACGCGCCAGGTGCTATTTTTACGACTAGAGAAGGAACCGCAGACTATACCCTGAACGTCAGCAGGAAGGGTTCCTCAACTAGTGCCACATTACCAGAAAACTGTAAAGCGAGTAGATTATCATGAGACTCTTTTCAAGGTAAGGAGCCCGTTGCGCAGTGGTTAGAGGTACACTGAGAAACACACGTAATCGTTGCTTCGATCGTGCGCTACAGTATCACCAAGCGTTCCATGATTTCGAGGTCGGTAAATTGATGCCAGATTTGTCTAGCAAGCTAGCAATATCGACACTACACATCCATATGCCACAGCAGATCATTGCATGGACCAAATAGTGATTCAGATTCAGTCACCTCTAACGGTGTTCGTGTTAACGAAGAGCTTCTTTGTTGGAGTTTTCTGTTTTAATGGCAACTGTATTCATTTGGAAAATCTATAATCTACATCATACTTTTTTCTAGTAGTGGTTTTGATACACCTGGCCTTCTTGTGCTACATTTATTGAATCTCGGCTTTGCAGATCTCTGCAACAGGAAGCATTGTTTTTGGTAGGAAGACGTGCTCGTTAACTTTTTTTTAATGGCAGGGTCAACAGAGCTTCTTCAAAAGTCTTTGACAACTTCGTTTCTTATTTTACTAAAATTTGCAAAATGAGATCAGTGAATTCGTGACGATATCGCCTGCTAAGGACAAATGACCAATCTGTCCACTTCAAATCAAAGCTGTTCTGTCGGCTGCACTCATGCGATTATGCAGATAGAACACAGAAGAAATCCTAAATTCTTAAGTGGCTGGTAGCTTCATGATCTTTCGTAAACTTCGGTTTTGTCAAAGGAGTTTAAGTTTGGGCTCCTTTGCTGCTTTTCAACTAACGAGAGTGAAGAGCCTTTCCTAATGAAGTGATGGAAGCAGGTAGGTAGGTGGTTAGCATTCCACTGAATGCTTTACATTTTGCAGCTCATTCTTGATTTATTATTAAATTATAAAATTGACACAGTAATTTTAATGATGCTGAGATATTTGCAAAACTCCGGACCGCAGGTGACTGCGGTGGGGAACGAAAGCGCTATTGTCCTTTTCAGGGAGTAACGCGTTCACCGCCACACCATGCAAGTCCTTCGTTTCGGCTGTCTCTCAGCTAGTTCTGTTGATCTTTGCCACGGCAATCACCCGCCAGCGGGATTGATCTGGAGGTCCAAATCGGCAACGAACCCAGTTAAGCTGAAGCTGCAGTTATAATCACAATTTTAACTTATTATTTGCTGCCTACTCTTTTTTTAATGGCAGGGTATATTCCCGCTGACAGGTGATTGCTGTGGCAAAGATCAATAGAACTAGCTGAGAGACAGGCGAAGCATGGTGTGGTGGAGAACGCGTTACTCCCCGGAAAAGATTGCAACTATCTCAGCATCATTGAAGTTATGTTTCGCAATGTACCATGCCGTTAAAAAAAAGAGTAGGCAGTAAATAATAAAACAATAATTTCATTTACTTGTCGCATTGGTTTTCATGACTCAAAGGGGTTTTGCAATGCACATGCTACGAGCTTACACATGCACGCGACCGAGTTCTCAATCCCATCTCAATAAAGAGCACAAGTGCTTTCCCATGGGTTTATGTATTGTTTATGTACTCAAATGTATTGTCGAGAAGTTTCTTGTTCATTTAAAAAGCAATATTTTTTTCAGATAACCTTTCAACTGTCGTAATATTTTTGCCTTCCTAATTACCAATTCCTAATTTTGGCACTTGGCTTTCTACGACACAGTTTAGGGTTTGTGTAGCGCAGTGGTTAGAGAAGGTGTATTACACACAGATGATCAGTGGTTGGTTTGTTCTTGTGCCACCGGTTCACCAAGTCAGCAATTTCTATTGGTTTATCAGATTGGGACCACACTCATCTGGGAGAATACTAACACTAACTTGACACATTGATAGGCCACCGCAACTCATCGTATAGCCCTGATATGCATCTAATCACCTCTATGACGTTTGTTGAGCTAAAGTGTGTGGCCCATCCCTCAGGAATTGTTCATCATAGTTGTTCATGTTAATGCTCATAGTTTTATTTTTTTTGTCCTTTCCCTACGACGTTCTACTATCGTGCTCATTCATGTCATTCTTCATTTAGAAGAGCATTGTCGTTTTGCAGTGACGAATATCAGATTAATTTTGAGGAGCTCTTCCTAACTTCAACATGGAATTTTGGTGAGCAGGTAGAGCCTTAGAAACAAGTTGGTGTACTTTTCATTCGTTTCTAGTAGATTGCATTCTAGTGGCGTCGGAATTGCTACATCTGCGATTTTGTTCGTGTATTATTGCTCTTTTTTCTATCGAAATCCTCAATTTCTGTAACCTTGTTGGATTTCCTAACGACAGATTTTCCTGTCGAGCAAAACTTTGGGGTTATGTTGATAAAATATTGTTTTCTTCTTTAGTGACGTCTGAAGGAGTTGGATTTTATATGGCCGATTCATCCTAGATGACCTATACTCCTAACAATTTCCTTAACAAACTCTGCTGACCAGTCCTTTTTCCAAGATTACCATTGATTTTCCGAATGTCTTCTGCCATTCTAGAATCTTTCCATCTTTTACTAATTCATATGCATTACCGTTGTCACAGGTAATCCTGCTAATCATTAATTAACTGGGAGGGCTCCAGTAAATTCTCCATTTTGTGTACTTCTACTACAACTGTTCCTAGGACTTGTTTCAAGGACACGAGGTTGTTGATACCCCACTCATTCCTACTGTCCTTGGAGCGAAGGTTACCACAAGAACACATCAGGTTCTGCCGTTGAAATTATTACTATTATCTCAGGCTTCAGAAAGTGGTTTTGCAGTCATCACATTTGGTGACGTTCTGGAGTGATGTAAAGTGAGTCTTCAGTAGCACATCAGAGCTATGTTGACGGTCACTCCTTTTCAATCACAAGAAGACGCTAAAGTGAGTAGTCATGACGAAGCCTTCAAGACACTTTCCCCACTTTTTCGACATGTTGCATAAGCTTTCTCATTCTCACGCTAGTCACATCATTAATTCTTTATGATATTGAAATCCTTCATACGTTATCTAGTCATTGGTTTGGTGAGAATTAGGTGCTTTTTCAAATGCGGCTGGAATAGGCTTTTTGAGTGCATGTTTTCCTGCCTCGCAAGGCGTCAGAGCATTAGGGGTAAGTTACCACCACTAATCACCAGCCCAGCCCACCACCGCACCTCAAATGCCTTTCGGTTTTTCCCAGTTCTCGTTGTTCCTCACACAATTTCGTCATGGTTCATCACTTTTACAGCAAAGGTTGTTGTACTTTGTTCTGGTTTACCACGTTACCTTAGATTCTCTTGATAACGCTACAAAATCTTATTTTTTCTCGTTTCTATAGGGATGCGCCCAGAATGACGTCATCTAGTGAGGGCGAAATCCTACAAGTCTCCCAAGTGATCCGAGAAAGATGGAAAATAGTGAGTTCTTTCTTTATTTTATCGCCTTTTCCTCTGTTTATGTTTCCTTACTTGGTGCTACTGATGTAAAGTAAAGATTCGAGTGGGCATAATTTTCTGCCCTTTGAAGCCTCATCAAGATGGCTGCAAAAGATAAAGGGTATCTCATTTTGTGTGCTCAAGAAAAAATTTCATTTCTGATTCTTTATTAAGCAACTGCCTATGAATTCGGGTACAATTAGAAATAGAACCCAGCTAAACGATGGAACAGCTTTGATCGCCCATGATGCCATTGCAGAATAAGGAAGAAATGGTAGCACAAAGAAATCTGCGTTCATTCCAGCGCCAGAAAATAGGTGGCGGCGGATTCGGCGAGATATATGAGGCTCTCGATATTCAAAACCACAACGAGCGGGTAGCTGTTAAGGTAAAGTACCCATAGTTCTTTCAAGCACTTCTACTCTTTTATTTCATAATATTTTGAGAACTTGTTTTTTAAGTTTATGTCAAATAATGGGATAATGAACTTTTAAAAGGAAAAGGAAAACAAGGGACTACAACTGTACTAGTTTCGAAATTAGGGAATCTCTTCGTCGCTAGACTTACTCCTCCACATCGTAGAAACTGAACAATCTTCTTTAATCCTTTCTTGAAAACTTTTCAAATTTCCGGCTCACTTTTTCCAGAAGATACATAAAGAACCGTTCCGCTCTAATTTCTTCACTTCTCGTAGATCCAGCAATAATCCTAATGACTAGCACTTTTGTGAATACTTTCTTGCAAATCTGCCAATCTAATACTAAGGAATTCTTTGTACTTTCTGCCCTTCATAATGAACAGCATGGTCGGTAATGCGACACCACCGTTGGACAACCTAGCCCCTTTTTTCCTCCATGATAGAGGAACTCGTACCGAGTTTATATTGGGAGAGATCTCTCCGATGCAAAGCCAGTGGTGAATACTTGTGAATGCTATAACCGAGCTATATCAGGATTTCAGCAGGAATCAGTTCGACCTGTATTTAGCATTCAACGCACTTATGGAGAAGAAAATACCTTATGTACCGGCCGAGCGCTCACACGTTTCCTAAAGGCATAGTACATAGCGGATTCAAGGCAACGAACCGAAGGAAAGATCTTTTGCAATCGGCACAATTATACTCTGACGGGTTCTATAAATAAAAATTTGTGTGTTACTCCATTATTTTCTTTTTTCTTTCAGCAAAACATATCCGATATAATCTAAATATTCTTAATCCTCTTTTGAGATATTGCAAAATTTCCGCTACAATGCTTATTTCTATATTTTGATAGGCAGTAGTTGACCACTAGTCCAAAAATGGTCCTAATCCTAAAATATGTATCCTTAATCCTAAAACAAATCCAGTCCTATCCTAAAATCTAAGCCGTAAAATCCTAAAATAAGTTCCTTTCTCCAGTTTTTAGCTCCCTATTTTAGAAGTCACATTTCGCCTATATGAGCTAATCATCCTAAATTTGGATTCGTTGGCAATTTTTCAGTAGTTTCATCACAAAAATTTCAACGAGATCTTTTCTCCAGAAATTCTTCTATAGATGATTGCAGTGGATGGGACAAAGGTGGACGAGTCATAGATCTTCTTTGCAGGTTGAATCGAGCAAGGCTGCTAAACAAGTGCTGAAAATGGAAGTAGCAGTACTACGTCGACTTCAGGGTGAATCTTTGTCCTTTTTACCTAATTTCTTGCAAACACTTAAAAATATCTCACTTACACCGTTGTTCCTGTAAACGTAAAATGCTAAACTATTTACTTAATTTTGCTTAAGCTGTTTAGTTTATATAAACGATCAAAGGATAAAGCTCGCGGCGTTGATCAATCCTTGAGGGATGCGTCATTCATTCGACTCATTAAGCGTCGTTTAGAGGTGGTTGAGTGCATATCTAGCCCTTACAATGGCTCGCAGTGGTCTACCGTTATATGGAGCCAGTGCTGCTATATTCCCAGACAGGTCTGGTACCAATTTGCCAACATCGGAGCGATGGAAGGCTTGGTGGACCATGGATGCGGGTATCGACACCACGTGTGTGTTGCAGGGCACCTTCGACCACTACGCCACACGCGCCCTTTAGTTTATATATAAATGTAATTCCATTAATCGTTTCTGCTCCCAGTTTTTATCACTCGAATAAAAAATTGTCACGAATGTTGTGGAATTTTGACTTAACAAAGTTAGTTGTGGGATGAGCTACAATTATAAATGTTGCGTCGAATGTCGAAGGGAATTTTCTGTTGCTTTTGACCTTTGCGGGGTCACGACATGCTTTGTTCTGTCCAAAAATTCCTCGAAGAATTTCGCCAGTAATGCGGTTAAAAAGTGGACAAAAGTGCAGTATGGCGACGGCTTTAACATGGGGACAGACGATGGAATTCAATTCTGAGTAGATTATGGAATTGCATTATGATGGGCTCGTTAGCCTTCACACGGACAGGGCAGCTGTGATTAACTGTGGTCCTCATGGAACAGGAAAGCCAAATCTCAGAAGTTTCTTTGTATGAAGCTGAAAATGCGTAATCAGAAATTCAATATTTGGATTAAAATCGTTCATTCCCATGTGAGAACACCCGACATTTATGGTTGGGCCTTCAAACGCCATTGATCTGTAGTACATTTTCCTCATACATACAGGCGCAATGAGTAGAGCCCCATTATGTCCTTCTTCGTTTAGTAGTGTGAATGGATTCACTTTTTTCCAAGTTCATATTACCATTTAAGTTGTAACTGTCTTATAAACTTCTTATATTACCAGAATTTTTCAAACTAAATGGAAGCGGTTTTGGAAAAGAACTTGAAGTGCTAAAATCTCAGGCAAAAAACATGCGTGTAAATTCTACGGGTGTGGAAGGAATGACAAATTCAACTATTTGGTAATGAGCCTTCAAGGAAAGAATCTTGCCGATCTGCGAAGAGAGGTATGGAATTTGTCACGTTCGATGTCGAACTCTTCTAATGTGTTTTTCATTTCCAGGCTCCTAAACAGTGCTTCAGTCTGAGCACAGCGATTCGCTTGGGTGTGCAGATTCTGAACGCCATCAGTGAGATACACTCGATAGGGTTTCTTCATAGGGACATAAAACCGGTGCGGAACTACCCATTAGAAATTTATGGCAAAACTTGGATTTTTCCTCTTTTCCGACCTATATAATAGCTACTGGCAGTTTAATATATCTTTTCAATTTCTTTCGCGCTTACCGTTTCTCGTTCAGCTTTCAAGATATTAAGTGAGATCTCACCGATATTCTGACATCACTATTTAAGGATTATTTTTTTGATCTCTGCAGTTCTATTTTCTTTCAAGAGCGCGTTTTCGGCTTCACTTATAAAAATCGCTAGGGCCCGTGTGGCGCAGTGGTCGGAGGCCCCATGCAACACATATGGGATCGATCTGCGCGCCCGAACCATGTGAATCATTTCTTGGAGCTTCAGTTTGCTTTTACCACTAAAATGTTTCCGTTTTAACTAAGACTTCTCACTAAGAGGTTTTAAACAATTTTTCGTGTACTTTACTGTCCCAGTGAAGCGTGGAGATTTAAGTCAGCAAAAAGTGCTGCTGGACCAACCACCATGCAGTTATGCCATGGTTTCTCGTCGTTTTGTTTGCTTCCTCTTTTCTTCGCCGCATCTCATGACAGTGACACCGAATAGAAGTTCTGAACTATTGCTGCAATTTCCTTGTGTTCTGACCATATAGTCATGGATAAACAAAGTTTATGAAAGGTTTCTAGTGCCATCCACGAACCGAAGGAGTGCACTTTGCCATGTAATCGTTCTTATCGTGGATCGTCGTGCCTGTCATGTGGTGTGTCTTGTAGAATATCCGCAAATAACGTTTTCTTGCCCCGCACTTAATGAATCCGTTGACCAGTTGCCGCAATCACTGTACTTCTAAAAAAAATTATAAGCGCAGCGTAACAGATGCTCTTCGATATACACGAAAGGAATATTAAACGTGGTGAAGGCTTGGAAACCTGTTTTACGACTACCTTGGGATTCTATCAAAAACTACCCACAATGAGCACTCAGCATACCGATAGAAGTTGCAAGACGACGGATTAAATGGAAGTGCTGACCAGCCCACTAGGAAGGACCGTCTAGGAACATAATTACTAAGTAAGAAGACGGTTCTTTGTATGGCGACATGTGGTATCTTTCTGTTCGTCGCAAGTAGGACTATGATGGGAAATAGTGATGGGAATCTGTAAAAAATTCGGCAGACGGTAGCACAAATAATCTTTTCCACATATTTGCCAAAGTGGTGCTAAAGTTTTTCTTTCCTGGATTTCAACAACTCGAGGAGAATCCAGAGCATCTCTATTTTGAAAATTCTTTAAATACTCTTGCATAACTGACTCATATGCAATGTAGACGCTGGTTTGACCCGCTCTCCAACGCTTTGCTCGGGTGTATTATTGATTCTAAAGAGAATTGACTCGACCAGCATCTTACGACATTAGTAGAAGAATTGGTCAAGCACTGGCCAAAACAGTACACGAAATGCTCGAAGACCTTTGTGGACGGTGAATGCGAGGAAAGTGAACCAGGATGCAAGGAGTGCTGTGATCCGCACATTATGATGATGACGGGTCATGTAAAAAATTTGTTCGCACGCTATGCCTGCTAATAATGACACCGACTGCTGCAGGACGGATTGTCTGGAGAAGAACAAACGATTATCAACGTTAAATTGGTACCAACAGCCGCCGTTTATAGAAGAGCACTGCCGAAGAAAGTTACTTCATTTGGGTGGCATACAGTCCTGAGCATTCGACTCGATGCTCTCACAAAGACGCACATCGGAAGGAGGAAGAACTGTGGACAATCGACACGGATCAATCCTCTGAAGAAAATGAAGGCTGGACAACGTTAATCGAATAAAGTTTTTTTTTATCAAACTTGCATCAACTTACCAATTAAAAAGTATATGTTGGTTAGGATCAAGCTATTTAAGTTATCGTGGCGACTGTTTTGTGTTTTCGCTTATGAGCCGTCTCGAAGAATAACATATCACAGATTTTATACTGCCCTTCATTTCAAATGAAGTAAGTGCAGCTATAAAACGCTGTTTAAAAAGGGCCAGTCTAGAGAATTCGGTAACGATAATCGAAATACCACCGAATAATCTAAGGCGCCAGCTAGCTCGTAACCGCCTATACGACCGTCTATGTGCAACGCAAAATTGCATAATTTGTCCCAATGGTAGAGACGGTGACTGCATGAGTTCGGGTACACTCTATCTGATCTCTTATAAAGCGTGGGAGGACGAATACGTTGGCGAAACGGGTAGACCACTCTGCGTACGTATAATAGAAATAAAGAAATAAAATAGCACCTCGTGTTTGCTGAACAGAAGTAGAAAAATATATTCACAGATTTTATTCAACTCTGAACGATATCATCCATGAAAGAATTCGGCGAAGATTCTATTGCTGACTTCACAGCGAAGTGGCTAACGAGGAGATTTGATTCCGACTGCTTAACGTCACTTTGCTTCACCACTCGATTGCGATTTTTCAGTCAAATTTTGCCATGGGACGTAGCACATCCACAATGCGCAAGGTGTTCATGCTGGACTTCGGCTTGGCACGGCAGTACTTGAACGCCAAGGGAGAGATCAGAAGCCCACGGAGCGCGGCTGGCTTTCGAGGCACCGTGCGCTATGCTGCTGTATCGGCACATAAGAATAAGGCAAGTTGGGATTACTATTAAAGTGGAAAGACGAAAGAATAGGAAGATAATAGGTCAGATTTTGTTTATCGTCATGCAGTTTTTATTCAAGAGCCATACTAACTGAGCTCATGCTGAAATTAACGATTGTGTTAGACTTAAGTGAAACGGCCTTAATTTGTGACGATGGTTTTAAATTGCGATTTGATCGATTTTTAGTTTATTTCTAATGAAATAAGTGTTTGAGGAAATGGGTCGACATGACGATTTATGGTCGCTGTTCTACATGATGGCGGAGTTCTTACAAGGACAACTGCCGTGGAGAAAAATTAAAGATAAAGATGAGGTATAGAAGTTTTTATGAGTTGTTTAAAAGAATATCTGATTCTAAGCACTAGAACAAGTCGTTTAAGCCCGAATGAAAGTTGGTAAAGGGAGAATGACATTATAGGTGATAGGATTTTCATCGGGGTATATCAGTTGGAAAGCTAGAAAGTGGATTTGTTTGTAAAGACGATTCCTTCATGATTTCAAGAAAAAGTGGGGCATATTTTATATCTTTGTAGATGCCACTCATTCTTGTTGAGTAAGACGGCAGGCTTTCAACAAACAGATCAAAATTTTGTAGAACTTTCCAAAAAGTGCTTGTCCACTTAGCGGGGCCAGTAATCAATCACTGAAGAATTCAACTGATGTTAGAAATGGACCTGTGTTACGTGTTGCAGGACTAGTGCTGTCCATGAGGGATGACTTTTCGTAGAAAACTTTTTTCATTATGGAGTATACAAATAGCATTCTCTGAGCTTTTGGTGGTTTTCCGCTCTTGTTTTGCATATTTCTAAGCTTAATCAAGGTCTTCGTACTATGCGTTAGGGATTTCATAGAGAAGGTCGTGTGGTCATAACAAAAATCATCATCAGTGACATGCTATGACAGCCGTTTATAAATCCTTAAACTTCCTAAAATTATTTTATAACACGGAGCTAGAATATTAGTTGTTTAGGTGGGCCGAATGAAAGAGGATGTTGATTTGGCTATGCTTTTGGAGGATTGCCCCGATGAGTTGCATCAATTCGCCGCTCACCTCAGAACGCTTTCTTATCCGGATTCCCCTGATTATGATCTTTTGGAAAGCCTACTAGTCCAGGTCATAAACAAGTACGGTTTCTATGTTTTTGTTATACAACCATATTTTTACTTTTTTTTTTGAAGTTACAACGTGGAATCCATAGAGACTGAATTGAGGGTTGACACTCAGACTCGCATGTTGTCCGGCACCCTACCATTTGCACTCAACGAGTATCTAGATCCCCTATTTCACCGATGATGACGTTTGCTGACTTAGTTTGATAGTCCGTTCTCCCAGTTCGTACGATCCTAGACTCTTTTTCCATTCGTTTCGTTATGCAGCATGTTCTATCCATAGAAGCTATGTAATTCTTATGTAAACTAGTTTAGTGGTTCTCTCTAGTTTCATTGCCGGGTTGACTCCTTTTATTCCTGCCGTTCTGCTTAATGTTGTCAAAGCATGATATTCTCTGAAATCCCAAAATGACCGAAATAGGCGTGTTAAAGCGTTTTCAAGTGTGAACCCAACGGTATTATTAGTGCTTAAAGCTTTTTGTGATGTTCGCTGATCAACGACTAACTAGCATTTTTCTATGACGGAAGCGGCTTTTAGAAATGGCTGCAGTAACACTTACAATAAGACGACCTGCCAATCAGGGACGATACATGGGACCGATTCCTCATCCTGTGATTGAGTGACAGTTAAGAGGCAATAATGTCAACTAATATGTTCACAAAACTTTCCAGTAAGCTGTAGAATCTCATTTGAATCCCTCCCATAATCTAACACACTCCGCAGTTCTCAGCATCGGAATCCTAGGGCAGCAGTTACTCACTTTTTACTAGACTGGCTGCGCTCAAAGTTTTTTTTAGTAAGGAAATAAATTGCGTCATGCATTCGTCCCAATTGTGCTTCGTAGAGGTGATTGAATGCATATTTGGCCAACACCATCACTTGCAGGCCTAACGATATATCAAGCTCGCCTTCGTTCTTTCCTTTCAAGCATATCTGCTACCTATTTACTGTCTCAAGAGTTATATTTATTTATGTGATCCTAGAAACTGATCTTCTTAAGCTGACGCAAGGTTGGTACAGGTCTTCGTTGTCGTTGTCGTTGTTTTTGATGTTATTGATCGATGGCTGACGTTTCGGCGACTCCGCCTTCCTCAGAGCCTGGATGTATTTAATATTAGAATATTTTTTGTATAATTCGGTGGGAAAGAAAGGTTAAAGTGTTGATGAAGATCAAACTTTCAAATAGACGCCATATTGAACAGAAAGGCCACTCACCGTGATGTTACGTGCTCTGGTCCACATTTATTAACTATTTTAGCTTTCTGTTCAATATGGCGTTTATTTGAAAGTTTGATCCTCATTAACACTTTAACCTTTCTTTCCCACCGAATAATAAAAAAATATTCTAATATTAAATACGTCCAGGCTCTGAGGAAGGCGAAGTCGCCGAAACGTCAACCATCGATCAATAACATCAAAAACAACGACAACGACAACGAAGATCTGTACCAACCTCGCGTCAGCTTAAGAAGATCAGTTTCTAGGATCACATAAATAAATATATCAACTATCTATGCCGAGGTTTATAGGAAGTCGGTCTTTCGAGTGTCTCAAGAGAGACAAAGGTTTAGTTACTCCTAGTCCAACGATCAAGCCATCGAGCATGTGCATTACAGTGCCTCTTCAACGTCTTGGCTGCAGGCCCTCTCAAAATTTTTCGCTGTCAAAAATCCTTTTTTTTGAAACTATATTTCTATATTGGCTTTGGCAGAAATGGCCATTTTAGCTATAGGAGATTCGGTTATAAACTTCTTCTGGTGTTGGAGCTGTTCCGCGTTTCATGATCTCAATCTGAACTTGAAATTTACTGAGAAGAATTTCGGTATTCTATCTCTAGCAGAGATTCTTAATCCTCGAACGAGATCTTTGAATAGAGTATAAACGATAAAGGATAAAGCTCTCGGCGTTGATCAATCCCTGAGGGATGCGCCATACATTCGACTTCATTAAACATCGTTTGGAGCTGATTGAATGCATATCTGGCCTTTACAATGACTCACGGAGCCCTACTGATGTATCGAGCCAGTGCTGCTATCCTGCCAGGCAAGTCTGGTACCAATTTGCCGACCCTGGAGGGATGGAAGGCTTGGTAGGCCATGAGCGCGTGGATCGATTCCATGTATGTGTTGCAGGGCGCCTCCGACCACTGCACCACACGCGCCCTTCGAATAGAATATGTTTTGCTTAATTTCTGAAACACTTAGCTGGCCCATCGCTACATGTTTTGCCATCTGCATTAGTTATTCCATTCAAGTGGCATTGTGCAGCAATCGCTCTTCATGAGGTGTGGTGTGTTTGTGATTCGGGTGCGACTAGAGGATCTGAACTCTTAGTGCATCTTTAATAAATTAATGCTACTCTAACAGCGTTTCATGGGGAATCCCAATTATTGTGTTAGTGACTTTCCAGCGTTTCACTGTTGAGTCGTCGTTGAGCAACGAAGGCTGTTTGCTGCTTTTTGACTAGGAATGGCGGTAGCGACCGTTGATTGGTCGACCGGCCGACCGAGAACGACTGTGAAAGAGCAGAATGTGAAAGCAGAAGGTATTAGAGCACGAGTTGAGAACAGCGTTTTCATTCAAAGCACACAGTGCGAGGTACTTCGCTGGTGAATCAAACGTCGAACTTATCTACATATCAGAAAATTTCTTTATAAATTTTGAAATCTTGGCTGGTCTTACTGATTATAGAAGAACTGAGGCGCCCATGAAATTTTCCGACGGCTGTTTTTGGAAAGGACCTCGGTGGATGCTTTATATAGGTAAACGAATTTCCTTTTCGGCCCTAAATAGATTTGAATTTTTCTTCGTAATTGAGAATCATCAGGCTCACTGCAGAGCACTGGTGTTACGGAAACCAAGTGGACGACACGAACTGTATAGCGACGAGTTTAAAGGACGGAATGTTTACTTTTTGTGGATCATTACTTCAAACACTTTGTAAAGTGCAGCAACGCATGTGCCAACGAGTAACATTTGATGGAGATCATAAGCGGCGTATTGTCAGAGTATGCAAGCGACAGGATTCCGCTTGAGTCTTCACTATGGGCGACAAATGGCTAGGATACCATGAAACCGATGTTGCCGACATTCGGTTTAGGATTTTCCTTGCGTGCTTAATCCGTAAATAAATTGGTTTCGTCAGGTTTCCGTATCACCCTTTGAGGTCTTGAGACCTAAGAAATGTCTGCAATTGAATTTCCATATGATGGCTTTCTTCGATTTTTGGCCTGGTAGTCGTATGAAACTTGATGTTACCTGGGGCCTTAGTTTTTTCTCTTTGAAGTTTTGAAATGGTGATTACTATGCGTTTTCTAGTTGATTCTACACACGCGCTCTTTCAGTTAGAAGAAGGTTTACTAACTCTCCACAGAGCTACTGTCAGCCCGCCGGCAGTTTCTGATATGGTCTTAATATTTGACATGATTTGTAGAAGAAATCTAGCAAATATTTATGACATCGATGTCTATGGTTGGAAAACAAACCTTGTTCTGCGCATGACAATTCGACATTGACGAGCAAAAAATAAAACGCATAAGGAGAATTCATGTAAGGTTTTAAAAAGAGAGAACCAGTATTCAACTGTTATTGATGTACTATGTTAAGGAATTCTATACCAATGGATGAGCCCTACGATTGGGAATTGGGTTACGAGAATCTCTCCGGCCGCGGAAAGGCGAACGGAAACGTCTCGGCCCGAATGAAGTCGCACACCACGGCTGTTATTCGTGACCAACGCTACGAGGAGAAGAACAGGTGGGACCCTCCCCATCAGCTATTTTCTCTAAATCTGTTTTGTTCAGCGTTTATGAAAATTTATTCATCGTTTTGAAAACGGTATGAAGTCTTGCACTTACATTGAAAAGGTTTGGTTTAGCCGACACCTTTCGTTATGATTTTTTCCTGGAGTTTTTGTGGAAAAGAGAGGGAAATTCTCTGATTTTTTGGCTTGCAACAATTGTCAGGAAATTCTTTGTAAACGCATTTCGATGTCACTAGCACTTTGAACAGTCGTACATTTCTAGCAAAAGTTTTGTTTTAAATATCGTCAGCCAGTTCGCTTCGTAAACTTCGGTTGAGTGTTCGTGTTTTCTGAACAGTCCAGCGTAAGCTGTGGTAAAAAACGTGGAGCTTCTTTGCATGCTATTTGGAACATCGTTTTTACTGTAAGTTGTGACAAATCGCTGTAGAAGAAGTTCGATACAGAATTTTAGAGTTGAACAGGAAGGAAAACCGTGCCTGCTTTAGCTTTGATTTCTTCAAAAGCTTTCTCAAATACACTACTTTGTACTGGAGCTGAGAATTCGTAAAAATCTAAGCAAATGATTGCACAAGTATATCTTGGAGTGTTCATTCAAATACGCTTGTATCTACATTCATAGTGTAATGCACAATTTCAGAGCACTGGACACTCAGGCGCCAATCACAATGGGTGAAGATGAGGACGAGCAGACGAATGGCCAGTGCCCACAAATCGTTGCAAATCTGGGCGAGAGTGCCCACGAGAAACACGAGAAGCCAAAATACAAGCGCCACGAATTCCTGAAGTTAGTAAGCCCATGGTGACCATGGTAACTACAAAGAGAGAGAGATCTATATCCCTGCCATTCAAACTTTGTAATGTTATATATTGAAGAATTATCTCATTTATCACCTTAAAAATTTAAATTTTTTTCGGTAATCCATGCGAATTGAGAGCATCGCTTATTCGCCATTATTATCGCTGCCAATGTGGAGTTAGACAGATAAGAACACTCAAGAACTTCAAATGATTTGAACACTTTCAAAAGAAGTAGAAATGAGCGTAGTGGAAGTGCCTGAGAATGTTGTTCGCATTCTTCAGTTCGGACATGTAATCCAAATCCGGAAACCTACTCGTTTCTTTTCAAAGTTTTACGAATTTTCTTTCTTACGCAAGATCATGAATGAATTTCCAGGCCAAAATATGCAGTCGTAAACATGGATGTTATCGATGCTGTGAATGCTCGACTGGCAGCCTGTGATGACCGTCAGCAGGACGATACAAAAGATGTAGAGGTGAGAACTGAAAAAAAAACGAAGACGAAAGCAGAGACGAATAGTGATGGAGGGAGCAGTAAAATAATAGAGCTGTCCCATGAAGTTGGCAGTGAACTCTTAATCAGCTTCTATGTTGTTGTCTTTCTTGCTTGTTCTTCCCCAATAATTCTTCCTTTTTCAAAGGATGAGTCTAGTCCTCAAGACCGATTTGAACCACCACGAATATATTGCCTAACACTGGCGATATTTGTTCAAAAATATCTCAAGAAATCTTAACCTTCTTCTTTACTGCCTATCCTTTTTAACGGCATGGTATGTTGCGAAATATAACATCTATAATGCTGAGATATTTGGAAAACTCCGGACCACATGTGTCTGCGGTGGGGAACGAACGCGCTGTTGTCCTTTCCGGGGAGTAACGCGTTCACCACCACACCATGCGGGTCCTTCGTTTCGCCTGTCTCAGTTAGTTCTATCGATCCCTTTTTTGCCATACTAGAACTTTTTTGCAAATATCTCAGCATTATAGAAGTTATATCTCAAGAAAGTTTGGAATGTTGACCATATTGGCCTTAATTGGTGTGTTGGGACCCCTCACTACACCTCTTATAAGTTGTTCGTCTTTCTGGGCAGAAATGTACTCAACATTTGCCCACTAAGTGATCACCAGTCGTATAATGAAGGGCCTCATCGTTGATAGCGAAATTTTAACCATTTAGGCGAACTTCAACCTACCATACACCATTCTTCGGCCGCAAAACGCTGAATCATCACCAGGAAACAAAGCCGTTCCATGCTCAGGAGAGAAAACGAAGAGCAACAAGTCGATTACGGTAGTTTCATATTCCTCTATCCTAATGTGAAGCAATTCGCGCATATAACGCAGTGGTTAGAGGCAATACACATGGGATCGATCCCAGCGCCCGTGGTTCACCAGGCCTTCCTTTCCTGCGGGTTCGGTAAATTGGTACCAGACTTCTCTGGGAGGAGAGCAGCACTGAATCGTTGCATCAGTAGGCCACTACGAGTCATTATGTAGACCACATATGCATTCTATCACCTCTAACTATCTTTATTGAAGCCAAATGCATTGCGCATCTTTTTTGGATTTATCACTGTCGAGAGCTTTATCTCTTATTTTTTCGACGTAAACACTGAGAAAATGTATTCTATTCAGATTTCGTTAAACCAGCGTTATAATAAGAAGTCGGCAACAGCAACAACAGATGAAGCAATGATGGACGACCCACCTGGAAGTAATCCCAGGACAGCAGCAACGATATTGAGCAAATGGCAATGTGAGTTGTTCGCTTTTTTTTGTTTTACATTTTAAACTTTCTATTTTTTTGAGATATTTGTAAAACTCCGGACCGCAGGTGTAGGCTGTGGGGAAAGCGTAATAGCGCGTTCGTTCCCCACCGCAAACACCTGCGGTCCAAAGTTAGTTTTACAAATATCTCAGCAACGTTTTGGTTGTATTTCGCTTAATACCTCGCCATAGAAATTGTAGTAGGCAGAAAGTAAAAAGTAAAACATTGTGATTTCTATTTTTTGTTGCCTCGTTGTTCCTTTTTTGTGAGGTCGTTTCCAAGAGATGACTGATAAGCAATGCGTTATTTTGGTTGTATGAAACATTGCGGTTTGCTTTACTTAGAAAAATTTGGAAAAACACGTGGTTGCAATAAGCGCAACATTAAGGGTGAACTCGTTTTTTTAACTAAGCACTGAATTGCAATCTTCAGCACCATTCGATACCTCATGCGGAGACTTCGGTGAGGGAAAGATGGAAGACAATCGAGGAGGCGGCATCGGTGCCAATATGCTAGAATCTACGGCACATCTTACCACTAGTTGGTGGAAGAACGCTTCCTTTCATGTTTATTGAGTGGACTCGTCTATGAAAAGCTACGGTGTCTAACTATTTCATAGAGCTGAGGTTCAGCAATCTTATACCTGAGTTAACGAAAGGGCTAATTGTTGTTTGCTTTGAGTTCTTACTGTATTCTTAGTAATTAGAAAGCAAATGGGGTATTAAAGACACCTCAATTTTCCACCAGATGAGGATTGTGTTGGTCTGAACAAGGGAAAGAGCGAAACGCAATAGTACTTTTTTTTGGGCAACTTGTGATCATTCTGTAAGTAAGAAAAACTGGGTAGAACAGAAGCATGATAGGAAATTATTCGCTCAAATCTGTATCTATGAGTGGAGAGAAAATCACTTGTGTCCTAAACTACTTGCAGATCGGCCTAATCAGCTCTCTCCTTCCAAAGGCATGCTGACTTCAAATTCACCATCTCAGCCTGTTGAAGTGCAGTTAAAAGTCAATAACTTCTCTCCAGTATCAGGTGAGAGTAGCGAGCACTTCCGTGAAAGCCAATAAAGTAATGGATTTAAGTGCAGAGCACAATACTTATATTTTCGCCATTTCAACGTCACCTCGGCATCTTATTGTATCTTGATAATCGGTTACAAACACGCCCTCTGAAAAAAGTGACTTTTAGGACAACGGTTGTCACGAATTGAGAAGGAACACACACCCATGCATCGAGCTCACAGTTGTGGAACTCCTCAACCGTCAAGTATCATTTCTCATTTTAAGGGACTCATCAACGTAAGGCGCATGGTTTTAAACCATGAAATAAATAAATCGATGGTGTAGTAACAAATGCTGAAGATGGGTGAGCTTTCAGTCGTTCAATAATTTCGGCTGCGGGAATCGGCTATCTCGTGGCGTTTCTGTCGATGAAGTCGTTAAGGTGGATTTCGATCCAGATCGTGACAGCAGTTACAGTATGTTTTGTCCCTTTCGCTCTTTGGTTTTTGTTTTTGCTTATCATCGACTGATTGGTTGTTGATTAATTGATTGATTGATTTGGGACCTTGGTGACAGGTTTTACCATTAATGAGTATTATTGAAAACAAATTCACGCACCTTTGAGTTTGAAAAAAGCTTACGATTAAAAAACTTACACACATGATGTCTTGTTTGGAACGTATTTTATAATGTCCAGAATATATGTATGTATGTGTAGCCCAAATTGTCTTTTATGATCTAGCAGGCCGATGTTGTAGTAAGAAGATTTTCATGTCTGTGGTGATGCTTCTCGGAAGTTTTGGTACTTCTACCCTATCCGAGTTGTCAGATTCGAAGCTATCATTCGAAAAATGCATCTTAACAACACAGAACGGATCTTTCGCATCTTTCCGTTAGATCCTTCATAGAGAAGCTTTTCACCGGTAACTCGAATGTTTCATTTGTCAGAAATGCGCACCAGCACCTCAGCTGGTCTACGAATATCTCCAACAGTGACGACGTCGAAGATAGCCGCTCGTGTGAATGCCGTCGACCGCAACGACGATGAAAAGGAACAGCGACGTCAGCGGAGACTCGGAAGGCGGAGTATTGACTCTAACGTTAGGGTGAGTTGAGTTCTCGGACTATTTTCCTTAAATCCATGGTCGGGATTGCAAATTCAGTTACTATCGATCTGTCAGCACTTGGAAATTAAGAGTGTTTATTGTTAAATATAAAAGAGATTCTAGAGAACTGCATCCCAACATTTGGCTATTGAACTTTGTTCGTCATGTCTCTTTTTTATTTATATGAGGTTAATATTGAGCTTTCTTCCGATAGCGTCTAGGGTTTTCGAGAAAATGGGCCTAGAATAAGTGGCGCTTTATGTCAAGTTTCTCGTGAAATTCTTGTCCTCTGAAATAGCGTTCGGTGATGAGGTAGTAGTGGTAACTATCCGCGCGGTTGTTATTCTTCGTTTTTATGTAAACTCTCTAGCCTTGTCTTACAAGCGAATCTACGCGATGTTCTCAGTGGTCTTATGCTAAGCAATTTTATTTTAGAAATGAGTTGATGAAGAGCTTATGAGGAATTCTAGGGCTATGTGCACATTCTCCCAACCCGAGGTATTTCCTCATAATGTAACACTGGACGTTTTCTGAGCCACTTTAAAAAACCTGGGATCGTGTGATTTAATCAATAAAACTTCCAATTTTTTTAAAGGTTGCCTTTCTATTTGCTCTTAGACCTAATAGAGAACTAATCTTAATACTAGTTTCCTCTGCTAGTGTGACGTTCCAAATGCGGATCGTAATTGCTCACCTATTAAGGTTACGTCCACTTTAAGGGTGATAAGAAAAACGGGGAGAACATTTGGATGCACTGCGTAATTTAGAATATTGATTATTACTATTTTATTACTGATTGGCTCCTTAGTAAGCAACAGCAGTGTTATTTATAAATGGGTAATTCAACGAAGTTTGCTAAACTCATCGATATCGGTTGTTGCTCTCGTTGTTGTTTCGTTGAATTTGCTTGCGAACGTATGGATTTTCCAGTAGTTTGGTGAAACGATAACCTTTACATACGGGTTTATATTGGGAATCCATGACGGTTATGGAAGATCTTGATTTTTGCCTTTGGCTTCTTTGCACTCCTGTTGGATAGATTTTCTAAAAAGTATATAAAGCGCACTGGAAAATGAGTAACGTATCATTCTAAGGAAGTGCGTTGCAGGTACCGCTGCCGCCAAGCGCTTCGCCGATCGAACTGCCACCACCATCTCCTATACGACTTGTGCAGCGTTCGGTTGTCCACGCTCCTGTAGAAAGTGTGGTAAAATTGCGCGATGCCGTAGATGACGAGCAGTTTCGGATTCCGCTCGAGGATAACAACAAACCAATCCTATTCTACAAGTATGTATTGTGGCACTGATGTTTAGCACTGTTTTTGATTGTCATAGGACTCGAAAGGTCCAGTCAACAAGAACATCATCTGGACAAGTAAATTCAATTAGTGGTACTGTCTGAACACTACTCAATTGTGCTGTGAGAAAAAACGACAAATCTCTCTAGCTGTCTGGAAGCCTACAAAAAATTAAGGGTTAAATTTCTGATTTTTGTTTCATGTTCAATAGGGACAGTTCAAGAAATTATCACTTCATTTATGTTTTTCTACTCTAGTGGTTTGTAGCAACTGTTTCAGACGGAAGCGATACCAGTTCCTGAATTTCCCGAAGGCCTCATCAAAATCATAGCTCAGTTGCGTGCCCACCGAAGCCCACTCACTCATCGTTGTTTTTGCTGCATCACAAATCGACCACTCGGCTGCCGAATCGGCAAAATAGTGCGATTTCTGCCGGCCGTTAAACGCTGAACTTTGGAGATGAATCCTCTCTTCTGGGGAGGGCAGTACTTGTAGTGATCCCATCCAGTTATATTGTTTACATCATATTTGTGAACTATACACGATGTACACAATTTCACGTTGACCGGATGTATCTATTAATATGAAACGAGTAAATCACCATAGGCATCCCCCTCACCTAGAGCATACGACTGCGCAGTTTCGCGAGAAACGCGAGTCGAGATGTCCTGTTTCCTGAATGTAATAGTCTTCTGATGTGAACTGCACACTATGTCACTTATGCTGGGCTTGGTCCGTCGGACTGGCCATGCTTCTGCTGTGTCTTCATCGAATGAAGTGCTCTCATCGTCGTTACTTCAGTGTCTTCTCTCCCTCTCTCTCAGAGCAGAATCACCCTCTTCGTCGCCTCGCTTTCTCGTGCCAAATCATTACGGTCACATATTTCGTGTCCAGTTTTTCTCGGCTTTTACATATTTTTCATGCAATATTGTTTGCTCCCTAGTCATTCTCAGTTGTTTAGACCATCGTCTTCACGGAGATTGCTCAGTCATTTGTTTGTCAATTAGAAATAATAAAGTTTATAAACGTGGAAATACTATCACAACGAATTCCACATAACACAATGATATTATGAAATCTAACGTGCTAATTTTATATGGGTAGGCAAAATGAGGTGCTCGCTCATACCTATACTTGGATACGTGGACGGCACGTCTTCGCTAGTTACATGGGCACCAGCGCATTCTCCAATTTTCTTTTTTTTTGGGGACTTGCCGGTCGAGCCACTGTGGTTCACTGGGATGCTGAGGTCAGCCTGACCAAGGTTACGTCATCACGTTTTAGAAAGAATAAGTAAAAACGCAGACTCCACAGTTTCTTTTGCAAACAGGTTAAAGGATGAACACTAGGGCATTCAGCGTTGATCAATCCCTATGGGACGCGCTTTGACTTCGGCTTCATCAAACATCGTCAGAGATGATTGAATGCATTTGAATGCATATCTGTCCTACATGTCCACAATGACTTACATTGGTCTGCCGATTTTTGAAGTCAATGCCGATATCCACCCCATAGAGATTTGTTATCAATTTTCTGACCAAAAACACCTAAAACAAAAACATTTATTTTATAATGTACAACTTCCAAGTACGTGGAAACGTATATAGAAAGACATAAAATACGTAAAACTTAAGAGGATTCGGAAAATATGTGGATGAATCAAGTTATCGAGAAAAAGAGCACAAAACAGTTGAACAGTGGTTTTTTGACGTGTGGAGTGGTCGCTGCGTATTGATTTCGATGCGCATTGCAGGCTGCTGAAAACTTTGCATCGTCCTGTGCACCGACCGCACGAAATTGAACGCCATTGCGAAAATTTTAAATGCAGAGATGATGAGGCAAGGAGATCAACCACATTCTAGAAAAATGTGAATGGTTGTAAAATCAATAATGGATATGCAGTGATAAAGAACCCAGGTGCTGGAAGGTATCATTTAGACGCCATTTGAAAGAATATCAAAGCATTTCAATACGTCAAAGTAACAGAAAAAACTACCGATCACACAGAATAGGGAAAAGTCAAAGATCATGGTAATGCTATAGATGGAAGAGGTGTCCAAATGCTCTTATTGCTTCACTCGATTCCTCTTTGGTATTCGGAATGAGGTGCGAAGGCGACTAAGGTCGTCCTTGAACAAGTCGCCGGATTGAAGAGCGCTAATAAGCTGATCAAAGTCGCGCTCGTTATCACGACGGCGAGAGACTGCAACAACATTCTGAGAAAATCAGAAGAAAAAACTGACGTGAATGTTCTTCACCCATGTAAACATCGTTGACGGCCACATTATAGACAATCCCAGCCAATAGGTCGTCGTAAAGAACGGTTTCAGTTTATAAAGGTAGGCTTTCACAATAAAGTTAAAAAAATGGGCGTTATTAACAAGTTCAAAGGTCTTTAAAATAAAAGAAACTGAAAGTAGTATGAAAATTCCTGACAAATAAAAGGATAAAAAGATAACACTCTCGGCCTTGATCAATCTCTGAAGGATGCGCCATGCATTCGATTTCATTAAGTAACGTTGGAGGTGTTTGAATGCAAATCTGGCCTTTTATAATAACTCGCAGTGGCCTATGGAAGTATCAAGCCAGTGTTGCTATCCTCCCAGACAAGTCTGGCATCAATTTGCTGAACCCGGGTGTTGGAAGGCTTGGTGGGCCATGGGAGCGGGGATCGATTCCACGTGTGTTGGAGTGGCGCCCCTAACCACTGCGTCACGCACGTCCTTACGGCAAATAGGCCTTACTTTTCTAATCAGTGGCTTGTTTTTCTGTTGCTTACCACATCGTTAACATGAATTACGACTGTAGTAGCTCACAGTTTGTAAAATTTTTCTCATTAAAAGAACTCACCCCTTTTGGCGAAATAGCTTCTAGCGATTGTCTGGCGCTTCACTTGTTCGTTATGTTCGTTTTCTGCCCACAGCTGTTGTTGCGCATCACAGAATGCTGTGAGAAATTTCGCTAGGCAACTGAACATCTCCTCCGGATTGATGGAATCGAAGCAAAATTGAGCAGCGCATGCAGAGAACTGTAACAAGAAAACTAGAAAATCAGAAGGCGCAAGCTAATCTGTCTGTTTTCGGCCTTCAGAAACAATAAAGGTAAACGACACCCACACCTTCGCTTTCATTTCGCTGTGCATCTTTTCTAGAAGATTATACTGTTGGCATGCTGTGACTATGAACTGCTTGGCCACCGTTTCAAAACGATCCTATAATGTCTTTACAAAGTGTCACATAAAAGGCTCTACTACCTAATTTATGTTTATCGTTCTTGTCCACCACAGACTACTGTAATAGATGGAAAACACCTTTTTTCGCTCAGTAGTCGAATCCTGAGTCGTGCCCTTGGAAGAATCCTCGTGGTGCTGAGTTGATTCTTTGATATATGATAGTTCAGAGCGAACTGTGGCTATCGACTGCTCCAAACTACGAATTTCCACAAGGATGTCATTACGACTAAAAATAAACAAAGAGATTTTACTGCCTATTACAATTTTCCACGGCAGGGTATTATGCGTGATACGACCACAATGATGCTGAGATATTTGCAAAACTTTAGACCGCAAGTGTCCGCGCTGGGGAACGAACACTCTACTACCTTTTCCGGGGACTAACGCTTCCACCACCACATCATGTAGGTCCTTTGTTTCGTATGTCTTTCAGCTGGTTCTATTGATCAGTGCTATCAGCAATCACCGTCAACTGGATTGATCTGGGGAGACCAAGAGAAATTTCATTCATATTTAACTAAAACCCAGCTATCTGTTCAATGAGAATTAGATGCAGAAAACAAAATAAAGTTCTTCTTAATCCTAGGAAGACGACTTTAAAACTGCTTCTGGTTACACTTTTTTGAAAACTTGTTGGTGAACATTTTTTAAAAACCTTGAACTTTAAAGAAATTTCACTAGTCAACCTCCTAATCCAGACAAGGTGTTCAGATGTCGAATCCAAATCCCATATTCAGCAGATGGACCAGCCGTCAAACTGGGAAGATTGACATTCCCATCCGGAAAACCGGCCTACGCAACGGTTGGGTTCGATGAGGTATGCGTGGTAATCGTCACGTTAAAAGAAGTAAAAACAATGAACCCCATCTAAAGAGCCTATTGACGCCGGTAGAGACGGAAATGTCCTAATTATGATTAGAGAGATTAAAAGTGATGACGGTTATTTACGAAAAGCCACTGTTATTTCTTAGCAATCATTGCTTCACTGTGGTCTTGTTTCAAGCGAATTTTGAGAAACGATTTGATACACCTCATAAAAGAATATGCAAGGGAGTAAAACTAACTTATATCTGGCAGCATCGTACACCGCTACAAGTTCCTTCTTCAGTTTTCCTAAATCTGGAAAACGATTTTCAATCACTTGTAAAAGGTAATGAAGCAGTGTGCGATCCGGCCGATCTGCAAACTTCACGTCTGACAGCCGATTCAGCGACGAGAGGTCGAATCCTGAAATCCTCAGATTTTACCTGGTATAAAACATCTCTACACCTAGGAAAGCTGTTTCTACTCTAAATATAGCAAAAAACAGTGCCGTAAAGTTTTAAATATTTGCAAACATAAGTTCACTAGTACGTATGATGAAAAGAACAATGTAGTATCACACTCCAGTTTTGATACCAATTTATGTAGTGAGGTATATTGCGGCCGCGCTAAAGTTTTTACTCGGACATCATTGGTTGAGAAAGTTTCTTGCCCTGAAGATCGGAGACGACCGTGTAGGAATGTTCTCACTTGTCTATCCTTACAGGTCGAGTGGAGGTTTGCCGCATTAGAACTACATTTTTCCCAGAACCATGGCATCATTCGGCATACGTCAGCTTTTTCTTGGCCTTCTAGATGACTATATCAAATTTCTTCTAACCTCATATGATTTTAGATTAAAATGCTCGCCTCTTCAAGTAACGCTGGCGACCCAAGTTCGATTTTAACCCAATAGGCTATGTAGCTGATTATACGCCTACAGCAGACCTCACACCTGGGTGATTAGTCTGTTATCGTCCAACATTAATACATTTAAAACGTTGCAATCACTATCGCTGCAAAACAATTTTGGCGTGACTGGATCAGATTAGTTAACTTGCATGAGAGATGTTCTTGAGCTATTGTAGATAACCTCTCTGCAATGACTTTGTCGTGCGGACGAATATTCTGATGTATTTTATAATTTGATGCTGGACACAATTAGGCGGGAGAAAGCACATTCTAATAAAGACCACTATCTGTTTCGATTGGTCCGAGCATAAGTATTTTCGGATTATCATGCTAAGCATGTATATATTTGGACAATGGACAGAGAGGCTCACAAATGAAAACAACAACTTAAATTTAGCTTTTTCCGCTTCTCTGTACAGCTTTGTAAATTCAGACATAATCCGGTGTTTGTTTGCGACTCATAACAGTAAATGAGTTCAAGAATTCTTCATAGACAGACTCACATGTTGGCAGTGGGGCCACTGGAAAATGAGCATGGAAAGCCTCTACGATTTCAGCTGCTTCCCAACTGCGGTCATGGAAGCTGTTTAGATACTACTGGAACGGCCCTTTATTTTTATTGTTTCAGGCAATAACTGTTGACCATTATCTTGCTAATTTTCAGTGGTCGATGGATGGTTGACATGGTCATAAAAAGCTTCTCGAGCTTTCCAAGTAGAGAGGGAGGTGATTACTTCGAGTCACCTATTATGCACTTAATTGTAGGATTTTGGCAGAATCAGCGTGCAAGTTACAACCTGCATACATACACAAATGTCCAAATATGTATGGATGAATGAATGTGTTCATGCACACACGAAAGGTACATGCCAATTCGGTACGTGTATCAGACACGTGGAATCGATCACTGAATCCATTCGAGAAAATAAGAGAACGCTTTCGGTTTACAACCACAACGTTGCTGAGATATTTGCAAAACTCTGGACCGCAAGTGTCTATGGTGGGGAACGAACGCGCTATTGTCCTTTCCGGGGAGTAACGCGTTCACCACCACACCATGCGGGTCCTTTGTTTCGCACGTCTCTCAGCTATTTCTATCGATCTTTTTGCCACAGCAATCACCCGTCAGCGGGGTTGATTATTAAAATTATGAAAATTATAATTTCAACTACAGCCATAGCTTAACTGGGTTCTATGCCGATTTGCGCTCCCCAGATCAACCCCGCTGACGGGTGATTGCTGTGGCAAAAAGATCGATAGAAATAGCTGAGAGACGTGCGAAACAAAGGACCCGCATGGTGTGGTGGTGAACGCGTTACTCCCCGGAAAGGACAATAGCGCGTTCGTTCCCCACCATAGACACCTGCGGTCCAGAGTTTTGCAAATATCTCAGCAACGTTGTGGTTGTATTTCGCTTACTTAGTAACCTGCCATGAAAATTATAGAAGGCAGAAAACAAAACGTTAAACATTGTGCTTTCGGTTTAGTTTATATCCTCTTCTTCATCTACTTGCGCGTGACGCAGCCTCACTGCTAACCTGTTGAGGACTTTCGAAAAGGAGATTTGTGGGGGTGCTCAGTAAGGTCAAAAAAAGGCATTCTACAATGAGGAATTTGATGAACATAGCTTTAAAGGAATGAAGTAAATGATCTGACACCATAGGTGCATAAAGTGCTAATTCCTTTGTCTTAGTCAGTATTGATTGATAATTCACTGCTTTTCTTCAAAGAGCAAACACGTGGGCAGATTACGTTTTAAATTCAATTGGCGCTTAAAAATAGCCTGAAGCCTGTAGTTTTCTGAACATCTTAATTTGACACATAAAATAGTGCAAAAACGGAAAGTGTGGGAAAGAAGGAAAATGAGTTCGAAGGGCTACTTTAGGTGTTCCCATAAACTTTGACGCCACTGTATCAAGCTGGGTTTAAAAATCAGTATTAAACTCCTTGAGCCTCCTTATTATAAAGAAGATTTTGGTGTATTAGGGCATGAAGTGAAATAAATGAAGGATGATGTTAAATGCTTCCCTTGGAAGGAAAAGACGTCATAAACGAATCAGTAGATCTACAGAGACTGAAAACTTATGCCAATTTGTGAGAAAACCGCAAATAGCTTCTCTTACCGAATGCATTTCCGCTTCTTTTGCCGAAATTGAGATAGTTGCCTAAGGCGAGAATCAGCGCAAGAAGTTGCTTGAACTTCTTGCTTGACGAAACTGCTGTCGATGCTTTAGTGACACCTAGAAAGATTCGAATTTTATGTATAGACGTCATAGTAGCGACGACATATCTCAAGTTTTATTACAGATGACGTTTCCAAAAAAAGCTAGTCTTACGGTAGAACGATTTCTACAGTCCAAGAATCTTATGTCGAGCAGATTATTACGCCTCACTCACTTTGAATATGAGGCGTGAGGCTATCGAGTCGTTCTTGAAATGTGCGAATTATGTACAGTGATCGTAGGCGCTGTTCAAATCGTGGTATCCTAAATGGCTTTGGATTGAGTCGCTCTAGCCATTAGTTCTTCTCTCACTGTTGCTTTTTCTTTCAGATCGCGTGCATCATCCTTGCCTCCTTGATTATCCAAGTGTTTCCCTGACTACTCTCGTTGGTTTGAGCAATTTCTTACACTCAATGATTTCATTTAAAATCCCATCAATGTAGCAGTTGGTAAATCACAATGTTGCTCCAAAAAGTTAGTACTCTGCAGTCATTTTTCCTCTATCTACGACTGAATGACGCGTACCATTCTTGGAAGAAATGTTACCCAGTTATAAAGTAGTAGAAATTTTTTGCAATTGCAAAACTACTACTTAAACAAGTTACTTACTGTGCCATTTCGTGGAGGTAACGATCGGCAAGTGCAAGCACTGACGACGAGTTGTGACGACTCACAGTGCTCTTTAGAATGCTGATCTCCTCCTTAGTCGGCACGAACTTCAGCATCTTAAATAACGACATTTAGTTTTAGCCTTTGTTTCTTGAGAATATGTCGCGGAACTTGGAAGTTACCAAATTGTTTCATTTGTTTCGCTAACTTTAGTTCCTTGATTTGCTTCGCTCGTTTTATTAAAACTGATCATCCAACAGAAGTTTATACACTACACCACCGTGCTAACATGGATTTAATGTCTTAGAAATTGGTTGGTATTTTATTTGCGCTCCAAAAGTTGTAGCATAGTGAAACACTGTGTTACACGTGGTTTCTGGCCTAATTTTTCAACGCCGCCCGAATTCTCCCTTTTTTAGAGCTGGTCATTTGAACACCACCTCCTGCGTACACCATCTCCATTTGATCCCCGCTTCTTATTAAATGGGCCAGATCAAACTCATACTGACAGCTTCCTATCTAGACTGAAAAGAAAGAATATACTAATAAAATTGATCATCACAAAAAAATCTGTCACACTTATTCCCTTATCGGCTTAAGGCTTTGATCTCTACCGAATTTCTTAGCTATCCGAGCTCTGTGATGCTAGTATGATGACTCTTAACTGGAAGGCACAAAAATCCGCTCTGAAGGAGGAGCAGTCCGCCAAAGCGTTGGATACTGTGGAATAACCATTGAATTCAGAATATTGTGTCAGGTCTGTAGAGGCATATAAATTGTGGGAAAATGCTGCTCAACTAGAATGTTATCTATCGAAACAGATTACATTGGAAGCTTATAGCTGACTCGCAATAAAATATCATAGGCTGGAAAACCAGATATCTTAAACAGAAATAGGACCATAATGATGCTGAGATATTTGCAAAAAAACTATAGTAGGTGACAAGTAAAAAGTTAACATTTCAACAGGAAACTCTTCATCAATTCATAGGCTTCGGAATAACAAAATTTTAGAACATATAGTGCACATGAAGAAGAGGATTACCTGCTCCAGCATATCTTTGGGAAGTTTTCCTCTGTCATCCATGGCTAAAAGCGCGGCTCGTATCTCACGATGGGAAAGCTTCAGCTTGGAAAGCATAATCGTACAGTTCTGGTAACGTCTCGGATCAATCACAGAGATCTGCAAGACAATGATGAAAGTGGGAATGGCTGACAGAGATGGAATGAGAACCATTCAACCTGAGTATATAGGGAAAAATTACAGCAGTGTGAAAGAAATAATTATCAAAGGTAATAACTATTGATTTCCAACGTGAAACGTCGCACTCGAATGTTCGGTTGGTTTTCATTTGTGTCTTTCCAAATTTATATCTGCGTCAACATATTACATCCGGATCTCACTCATTGAGGGATCTCGACCCGGTTAGTCGCAACGTGTCATCATTAGAAATTTACAACGAACTCTTAATGATGGGCGCGTGACAATTCCAAGTCAATCTAGACAGCTCCAATAA